TTGTTTCCCTTTAATTATCAAAGCAGTAACAATAAATCAATACGACTTCATTAATAATATCAATAACTTACTTAAAAATGTTTTTTTTATTGGAAGTGTCATTCTGATCTGGGTCATTTCAAACTTCTCTTTACACCTATATTGAACTCTAAACTTAACAATTTAAACTGAAATTCACTAGGAAACCTCTTTTTTTAACATAATATTGAAACTATTAGAGCATAATAGATAGAAAACGGAACAAGGAAACATTTTGAGTGAACCGCACTACACGCTACTCTCCCCCCCCCCCCCCCCCCCCCCCCCCCAAGCACCATGAATATTATGACTAATTATATCTCACTTTCCTTCTCCTCTTTAGACTGAAACCTGCTGATTAGCGAGGTTGCCAGCCTGCTCTATTTTGAATTCCTCGGTTGCAACGTGTTTGGTGACTTACAACACGTACTTCCTCCTTCCTATGTTTCATATATTTATAACCCATTCTCAAAAATTGAATAGCTAACACCTCTTCAGGTTAAATACTGGGCCATTCTATCCGGTACTGGAAAAAACACAGTAATGCATTTCTTAGTATTCATGTAACGAATTCAATATAATAATATTATCTTAAGCAGTTTTGTGTTTGAATGAAGTAAATGGGCCAACGATGATTCACTTTCAGTGATTAAAGAGACATCGACAGTTGATTTGTAATTCGGCCTACCCCTGTAATACTCCAACATTCCCCCCTGAAAGGAAAGGTTACATTGGGAGAGGTATCACTGGTGATTGCAGTCTATTTGGAGGACCACAATGGTCGAGGGACCTATCTCACGGACATTCGGCGTATATTTACCGTCCATCCTCGCTCGCCCGCCCCCCCCCCCCCCCCCCCCCCACCCAAAAGCCTCATCACTGACACTATGACATTAAAAGCCCAACCGCTATGAGCAGCCAAACAAATCGACTAATCCTAATCACCGCATACTCCCCACTGTAAGCCCTTTCCCATGCGTTGGAGAGACTCGTCACTATTTATGCGATCCTTGGCGTACCTTCCCATAATGAAACGATTTAATCAATTGCTATTTTAACCGCTTCGTGGCAGTACTTAATTAAGCTCCAAAAATAACCATTCAAATTCTCTCAACTAATGGAAATGTCCACTTCAATCAAGTCGGAATTCAGAAGTACAATATTTGTCAGGACACATGTAGCTTAAAGCTCTGACCCACCACGAGATTAGAGGAAAAAATGGAATACAGGAGAAGTTTCTTGATCATACAATCCTATCGTCGAGGATTTTTTAAAATGTGATTATTTTTCGAAATCCAGAAACAAGTTTTCTTTCCAGCTTGCAGAGGGGGCGAAGGGGGGGGGGCGGGAAGTGCACAAGTCCCGAAGTAGGGTCAGTAATGTTTGCTCCAGGTGAAGAGGGGCTTTAACATATTTTAATTAAAAATATTAAAGGTTAACCATAATACATTTTTTAAAATGCAATGCTTTCGTTTTAGTCCACGATGTCCCATTGGCCCATCCCACACCTGTCATGTCAAGATACTTATCCAGTTTTAGTCTATACCTTCAAGCACGTCCATACAGAGATGTCTTAAGCAAACTGACATTATATTTCAACCCATGAGCGCACACACACACACTTGACTACTCGTGCGCATCCCTCATTCCTTAGAATATTCATCGTGGTTGTTCAATATACCTTGACGGATACAATTTTTGCGCTCAACGTTTGTAAATGCTGTTTGCTGTTATCACCCCTCCATTAGACTTCGCCCGAATACAATCATGTACAAATCGTGGAAAGTTAGTTTGCCTGAAAGCCAATGTGAATATGCATTAATAATCTACCCGATTCTCATTATTTTTATTATCATTTTCTTTTATGATAAGTTATTTCTACGCCACTTCTTTGAATTGTCTATTTTCTGGGGGTGTGCGCAGATGCAAATTGAGGAATGTCGCAGTTAGCAAGTAAGTAAGACGCAACACTCGAGATTGTCACTAATCTCTCCAAATCCCTTAGATTTGTCTTCTTGGTCTACTTTGTCTCCTTTTGTATGCAACAAAATGGCAATCAAAAATTTGTATGTAGCCTTTTCATGAATTACTGTCAAAATTAATGAATTCGGCTTTTAGCAGTCGCGAAATTTGGAATTATCCCTCTCTCTGCCTGTACTACTGGAAACATAATAATCAACTAACTCACTAGTATAAATAGTGTGCGTTAATGAATAGCCACTTCATCAAAATGTCAAGTTAGAACGAGGATTTTCTCAAGGACTAATTTAAAAAAATGTCGGCTTTCTTTTAGCCTTTTTGCTCTTCAAGTTCCTGAGTTCTTAGGAGTTCTTAGTTTATCTCCTAAATTTGCTTTGTGTATGTGCGAATCACTGTTACTCATACATTTCGTTGTGCGAGCTCTGCTACTACAGAGATATTGCATGTTATCGTGTTGTTTAAATAGGGTGAACAGAAAATTACCAATTATGTTGCGCAAATTAGCGTTCGAGTGTAACATTTAGTGTGCGAATCATTCATAATTTCTTTGCATTTGAATACCACAAATGAATAGGTAACGAGGTACTTATGACCAAATCGAATCGCAAACTGCCCCATTGGATCACATAAATTTATGCCAGACTGTGAATCAAGCTGTTAAAGCGAAATGTTTTCAAGAAAAAATGTCACGTTGAATTAACTTAAACTGGAAATTTCACAAACATTTGGTCTACGCACTTACCACCAGGCTAATCTTATCATTGGAATACCACGGATGCTGAGTTTAATTATTCTCAAATAAATCAGATCATTGAAATATCAAATTAACTTAACCACAATGGTTTTCGACATTATGGGAATTAACGATCTCCTATAGTTGGGACCGTTGACACTAAATGTTGATTTAAATTCATTAGAATGACTATCCATCTTCTGTCTACCTTCTAATCGAAATATATTTCCCTATAGTATCTGTTCATTTAACGAAAGGTTACATCCACAAAGTTCAATTTTATCGATCAATTAAAATAATTTTTCGCTGTCTGCACATTTCACCAAAATATCCGTTTAAATTTCATTATTATTGTAGGTTAATAAATTTCTAGGTTAATAAAACTCCAGCATGAGCTTCGTCAAAAATAGAACAGAATATTAGTTTGCAAAATTAGGTAATGTGCTTGAAAAAAAGTCCTATAGTTTTGATTGGCCGAGTCTAACCTTTTCCCCCACCCCGAAATCTACGTAGAAACTATCATAATTGGGCCATATTTAAGACTTTATTAAAGAGGTTGATTAATAATGCTTGGATAATAGAAATTGACTCTATTTCACTTGAGTCTTACGGACAATATTCCTTAATTTTTTTCATATTAAATGAAACTTCTGTTGCTACTCCAATATAAAGCCCTTTAGTCAATTTTAGTGGTGGAATATACACATTGGCTGGGTCTCTATTTGAGTAATTTGAGAAAAAATGTTGTCTGACAGCTTATAGAGTTTATCATGAAATCAATGAGCGTAGCAGAGGTAGAGCTTAGTCATCACTAAATTCCATCAATCGCCTCCAATTTGATGGCAGAAAGTGATTGATTGCTTAACATAAATAGGATATTTCAAAAGTAATATGATCGTTAAAGTTAACGGTAAAGGAGTTTGACCATTTAATTACCTTTATCCATGCATAAGGGTAACGCAAAAGTTTCTTTAATCATTTAAACTATCATTTTTAAATTGGCGGCATATAATCAAGGTGAGGGCATATAGATACTGTATTCGTTTCTTCTATTAGAAGCTCGAAACCTTTATTTTGTTCATTTCCCGAAGTAATCAGTAATAAATGATAGTGTGAAATTTCACCTTCATTACTCCATTTGCTTGAAGTCGATGGGTCATTTCTTTGTTAAAGCGCAACATTTTCAGCTGTTAAATAAATAAATGACTTTATAATCGTAACAAATAAGCAATTAACATGTTTATTTTTTATTTATACATGTCTATGAATCAGTTTAATTTGTCGCTCTCTGGTGGTTTGTGCAGTAAAATTCCAATTATCGATAAATATATAGAAAGATTTGATATATTAATAATTTTCCAAAATAATTTTAATTTTATTACAAAGGAAGTATTAAGTTTTATTTTACCGGGCAGATTCCTTCTCTATTAATTAATTTCAACAGAAAAATAGCGCTACAATTCCCCTACTCATAGTACTCGAGGAATACTTCTCGTGAGTGTGTGTGGTCTTCTCCCATTGGACGGTCTGTAGGGGAATCTCACTAACCAATCGCATTGGCACCCGATAACCGAGGTTTTGAGCAGTAATCTTGCACACGTACACAGTGCCATCGAAAGTATGACAATCTGGGTAACCCATTTCCTTCCAATTCTATTAACCTTCCCATTTGTCAAATCAAAACATGAAATAATATATTCGGTGCAGGAGGAATCCGAAAATGGGACTTTTATCGGAGATATTCTGGCCGATTCAGGATCGAGTGACCTAGCTACAAGTGGCGGAGATATTGGAGTTCAGCTCTACGAAGATCAGGCCACTGGATTATTTCAAGTTGATGGAAAGACAGGAAAATTGACCGTGGCTGGAAGAATTGACCGAGAAGCAATCTGTCCTCAAAGGGGTGGAATTTCATCAGTCGCCTCATTTTCACCCGGTCTTATTGCAAATTCACTCAGTACATGTCAAATCGAATTTATCGCCCACATTCCGCCAGATAATTTGATAAACATTGCTGTTACAGTCGAGGATATAAATGATCATACTCCAAGGTTTAAAACTGATAGTACAAATCAGCTTACAAGTCGAACGTCCGGTTCTTCTAACATCGTATACATAAGTGAAGGAGTCAGTGTTGGGTATGAAGTACCAATAAATGGAGCGACAGATGAGGATGCTGGAAGCAATGGAATTCAATCCTACAGTTTATCCATTGATGATGATGATGGTACAACCTTTGCTCTCCGATATGTTCTACCAAGTGAATTGAATCTCATAGTGAAGAAGAAATTGGATTACGAGACAAAAACAGCTTATAGAGGACAAATTATATCCTGTGATGGCGGTAAGCCAACACCTAGATGTGCTGTTCAGAATATCACAATCGCCATCACTGATATAAACGATAATATGCCTCATTTTGACAAAGATCTCTATACCGTTCGAATCTCAGAAGCTACACCGGTATCATCAGTTATTTTATCAGTTTCAGCAACCGATGCTGATTCCGGAGAGCTCGGAAGACTAACATACCGATTTGGACAAACTTACGATCAGAATGTGGGTGTCTTCTTCGGTGTAAATGAGAATACGGGCGAAATTTGGGTTAAAAGTCCTCTTGATGCTAAAGTTATGTCTCACTTTAAATTCCCTGTGACTGCCCAAGATGGTGGGACTATACCCAAAACTGGATCGACAATGGTACAGGTAGATATTGATGATGTGAATAATCATGCACCTTGGATTGAGATCAAACCGATAAATTCACCACTTTATGCCAAAAAGCCAACTAAGGATGGCTATATTCAGCTTTGGATTGAGGAAAACCAACCCGTCGGAACTCAGATTGGAATTATCCTCACTGGTGATAAAGACGTTGGACCTAACGGTGATGTATTCTGCACTCTCGACGACAAGGATTCTTCATTCAGGTTACGTCATTCAAGTTCAGGACGTGGACGGAAGATGTACAGTCTTCAGTCTAAGGTCCAATTCGATCTAGAAAGTATGAATTTAAACTCGCCAATAAGGCTTCAAGTAGAATGTTCCGATTTGGGAAAACCAAAGTTAATTACAAAGCAAAGTATTCAAGTTAATGTAATTGATGTTAATGAATTTCCAGCATTTTTCACTAAAGTTCAATCAAATGTTGCTGTGCATATACCAGAAGATACATCACCAGGTTCATTGGTCACTAAAATTCAAGCAACTGATCGTGATGCCACGCCAAAAATGGAATTCAGGCTGGAGAATGATCAAGGTGGTCTGTTTATTATTGATTCCTCAAACGGAAACGTATTCACACAGGAGAAATTTGATCGTGAGGTACAAAGCCAAGTTCATTTTTCAGTTCGTCTTCTTGATTCGGATATTTCGAATTCCATAATTCCGCAAGCAAGATCTGATTTAGCGAATGTGACAGTTATCCTGGATGATGTTAATGATAATTCACCGGTTCTGGAGAGTAGTCGAACTTTTAGTGTCCTTGAAAATCGAGCTGCCTACGCTGATCTAATCGGCCAACTCAGGGCTTACGATCCGGATCTAGGAGAAAACGGCACCGTTCGTTTTCTTACTTCAAATAACCTCTTTGATGTTAACCCAGTGACTGGCAAAATCTATTCTAAAGCCATTCTTGACCGAGAAGCTGTCGCTCAATATCATCTTGATATTGAAATCACAGACCTTGGACGACCTGTTGCGAGAAGAACTATTGAACGTATTAGCATCAATGTTGATGATGTTAACGACAACAGACCTGTTTGGAAAATGCCAGAGAAGCTTCATCGGGAAATATATATGAGACCTGTAAATAATGTGATAAGAAGTGTTGATAAAAATTCAGGGAAGGAGGATATTCAATCCATTGGCTTTGTTAATATTTCAAGTCAAGCTTCAGAACAAGCTGAAATTGTAAAACTGGTTGCGATAGATGCTGACATTGATCAAAATGCCAACATCTCCTTCAGCATACTCAGTGGAAAGTACTATAGTGAAAGTGACTTTACTTTAAGCAAAAATAACATTCTCAATCTCGTTCAGGTTCCTCAACAGATAAATATCAAAGATTACTTCAAGATCGATTCCCTCACCTGGGTACTAAGTGCTATCTCAGATAATGGTGTTATCAAACCCAAGAGCGGTCTCTATGAAATCTTACTCTGGGCATCTGATAATGGTCAGCCACCTCTGCACACAGATGCAATAATATTTGTCTATTATGAATGTAAATGGGGATTTGTGGCCAGTCTCTTTAGTGTTTTAAATCGTGGCAAAACAGTTATTCTCGTTTGTCTCGTATGCCTATTCATATGTATGGTACTATGCCCTGTCCTCATTTACTTGGTTCGAGCTCGGAGGAGGTCACAGGAATGCCGTGAGAGAGGAATTATTGCTTGTGTTGACGATGAAAGGTTGAGGCAGGAGGACTTGATACGTGTTGGCAATGCAGAAGTGGAAAGTTGGGCGAAGGAGCAGATGTTTATGACCCAGCAACCCTATTTGAATTCCTTCGATAACCCAGAGGATATGAATGGCTCTATTTTGAGGTATCACACCGATCAGAGCGCTATCAACTTTGGACAGTCACCTCATATGAACTACCAAGAATGTCCACCAGTGGTAACCGTTATTGCAGTGAGTGAACTTTTCTAAAAAAACCAATGTTTTTTCCTTAAGTCCAGCCTTTTTCAAATAATTAAATTCTAAATGTACATTAATTAAATAATTAATAGCATAAATTTTCTCAAAACGATAGCAGAATAACTAGAGATAGAAATTTTGAAATGCGAAATGACCAAACTCAGCACTGCCGCGTTACGATCGCATAAGCTGCTTCATATCGTTTAACTTCTGCATTCAAAAAAAAAACTTGGTAATCATAAGCCGAAATAAATCAATCTAATTGTATTGTTTGAGAGTTTTCTATTTACTTCTATATGATTTTGCCCTCGGTAAATAATGTCTCTATCTGTTGTCTAGCACGGTGTGTATCTGATAAGACTAAAATTCCGACCTAATTAACTCAGAGTTCATCTTGTGCTAACATAGCTTACGGAGGTATGATAAGTTAAAATTTCTGATTGTCTCATCTGTCCTATGTTAACGAGGCGAGCTGTGAAATAGCATCAAAGATAACTTCGCCTTCTCAAACAGTGAGAAAGAAGTGAAATTAAAAGTTAAAACTAACCCCCGCTGCTTCTCCCCCTCGCCCCCCCCCNCCCCCCCCCCCCCCCCCCCCCCCACCCTCTTGGCTAATAACATCGTTCGATATGCGCTTGATAACGTAGCCGTGCATTTTCTGCGATCAATATGACTAATCAAGTAGGGCACATTGTCAAACGTGAACTACGCCTACATTGCGAAAGAACAAAAATTGAACGCATTGAGACCCAGTCACGCCTTGGCTTTACTCACAGTAGACTTGAACCCCCCCCCCTCCCAGTATCATCGATAGGACTTATTTTTAACAGGTTCATCTGCTTTTATAGAAATGAAAATTGTGGTTTATAACTACAATGCAATTAATGCCATAATTAAATCAATTAAACTGGTAATCGAAAATTAAGTTGGTAGGCTTTATCGCTTATATATATATATATATATATATATATATATGTTTATGAAGTTATTGTAGAAATACGATTATAGTATTTTTAAGTACTCAATTTATGGGCTGATGCAGCAATGAAAAAGCGGTATTTTTGCTAAACGCTGGGCAAATGATTTCCAGACTATCTTTTGCATAATTTTTATTATTCACGTTAATGGTATTAAACAAAAGAACGCGAAAACACCTTTAGGAGATGAATCTCATCCTCTTCGTATATTGGAGTAGATTTCTCATTAGCATAATCATAAGACTAATGAAATGGTAGTTCGTTCTAATAATTATAATAATTATTAGTATTAGTAGTAGTATTTCTTCATTGGATAAGAGTTTTTTATCAGTGGAGATTGCTATGATATGTGGAAACCTGCAGGTGGCTGCCAGGCAAAAGTAAATAAAAAAATTTCGTTCGGAGGTAAATGAGACAACCAAGGTGCCACTTCTGAATTGAAAACAAAAAACAATTGTTCAACTGCAATTAATTTTAAATAATATATCCAGACGAGATAACAATGGTAGTTATGCAGAATTTCGGTTGCAAAACTCGAGAAATTGAAAGTTTATTAATTCTGTTCAGCTCACCTTATGCTCACTCAGTATCCATCTCTTTTACAACCTTATTGATATTGATTAGTGATGCATTAGAAATAATTAGGTGAATCATATTGAAATGGATCTTAATTGACTTAAATAGTATGTTTTACTAAAGCTCGTAACAAATTTATGTTCTTTCAAGTAACCTAGAATTATTGAAATTGTTGTTAACGTTGGGATGTATTGGATATTCACGCTATCAATTGAATCCAAATTGACTATTTCGGTTTTAAACAAGCTCAAAAACTCAAATCCTCTTCAAGTCGGTGATCAATTCTGCCATTGGTGATATATTCCTCATGTTAATTAAGATTTATTTAGTTATTTCAAAATGAATGCGTTTTGATAGTTATCATTAGCTCTTTAGCTGACTTAGAACTTCACAGAGAGGAGGAACATCAAAGTGAGGGAAATTCGAGAGTGGAAACAGAAGAGCGGTTCACAGATGTGATGGAGACAGACACGAAAGTAGAGAAAAATGTAAGGTGAGTACTGTGGAAGTGGTGGAATATGCCATACAGTGGGATCATGGCAGTTTGAAGCCGGAAGTCAACTGTCGTTGTATAGACTTTTTTGCCATATGGGTATATGTTACCCGTGGTGCACCATGTGAAGATAAGTCTGTCACACACTCCATGGTTATTAAGATAAAGATTATGTTGTTTTACTTATTCCAAATGCTAAAAGTAGAGTTGAAAATGAAATAGGAAGAGTTAAAGAAGCACCGAGTGAAACGGTCTGTAAAAGATGGATCACCTATGCCAGTGATTATCTCACGGTGTACAACTTTAAAGTACCTTTTATTAACAGGTCAAGATACTTTAGAAGGCCGACTAAATTAGGCTAGGTATTTATTCGTAAAACGAATGACCTTCCTTAGACTAGCAGGATAGAATTACCTTTCCCCGAGAGAGAAAATCAGGAGAAATGTGGAACCACGTGTATTTCGGAAAAATGGGGATGAATGAGAGAGAAATAAAAAAACTAGTAGAAATAGGAATTGGTAGTTAATATGAGACTTCATTACTGAACAAAGACGACTCAGATAGTGAAGAAGGAGGCAGAATTAAAAACGATAAGGTGGATGTTAGACTTCTCGTGAGTCAATTGGTCCTCAATACTAAGAGTGGATGAGCAGACTTTTGCGTTAAATTGCTCGCATGAAACGGTTTTTTTCTAATTAATCCTCTGGCCCCACTAGTCCAGGCCTTTAACTACCCCGAAGCTCACAAATATGCTATTAATCAATCAAAAGTTCCCCCCCCCCCACTTCTTCATAATTTCTTACATGTGGAATTGTTTTCATGAAATACAACTCATTTCTTCCATCACAGAACAGCCGTTTTTAACCGCATTGAACGAATTTCTTTCGAAACATTAGGATTTTAAGCCGCCTTGGTGGAATAAATTGTGACGACTTTCAATAGCATGTCAAGGAAACAATGCACGTCGATTTTTAAATAAATTGTCATTCAGGCAACCTCCACTAGTTTGAAACAGTGGATGAATTCGAATTTTAGCAAAGGGCTACCGGAAATTACCAAATTAACCCTGTAAAGACAGGACATTCATAACTGAGTTATCTGAGGAAATAAATTTTCGGATTTAATATGAATATGAATGTTGAAATGTTGCTAAAACCTATGGAGGTTTTCTGCTTAAAACAAGAGCTCAATGATTGAGTGAAATAGTAGGCAGTGGTCACTCAGCTATCACTTATGGGTGGTCCAGTCACTAACCTTTGCGCGCTACATTGGCTTCAACCTGTCAAGCGTGAGAAGTTCCTTCCCCCCCCCCTTCTAAGCTCACTCACCCACCCCCCACCACTAAACGTGAATAAAAGTATGTAACAAACGTTTGAGTTTGCGGGTATCATGCCCAATTTGTGACTAATCGAGTTTAAAGCATTGCTATAGCATTTGAATAGGTCAAATTGGTGTTTTAAAATTAGAATACTCATAAAATTTCGCGATTTTGGTTCTGAATTGATGAATAGATTTCATATTGAACTCGTAGATAAAATTATGGCATTTTAACCCAAAAACTCATTGAACCGTTTAAAACTTTTACTCAAGAAATAAAGCCATATAAATATCATCTCAACTTCCTCGTTTCCCTTTATTTGTGTATATTTTACCACGTTCGGGGTTTAGCAACTTTACATCATTTAAAAATTTCCAATTTCCAAGCTATACTGAGAGGAATAATGGCTAAATATTTAAGTACCGTCAAGGTGATCCAACTCACTTTAATTTACTTAAATAAATTCAATTAAGGGAGCTCATTAAGCCACGCGCATCGCATTAAGAAACCGTATTATCTGCTGAGCTTTTAATTTTTCTTCCTGGTATGATCATAGTTTTACGCATTACTTTATGCTTCAAATCGTAGATTTACTATCATCAGTAAACTTTCGTTGAAGTGTGATCGGATGTGGCTATAATAAATTAGCTCCAGTTCATTAGATATACATTTCAATAATTTTTTATTTGGTTAGATAAAAAGCAGATTTATGCTTCGTTAGCTCTCTCTCTTTTTTAAATTTCAGGGCTGTCCCGCTCCAGTTGGTTTGAATGCAGACCATAGTACAAATGACTCTGAAATATTCAACAGTTGCAGCAGGAAAAATGGTGATTTTAAAAAATTGCTTTAAAACATTTCGAGTTCATGTAAAAAATTTCACTTCATTCATCAAATTCTGATTATTTCTTTGAAATTATTATTAATTTTTTTATAGTCATATCATTTACATTAAAATTTTAAAGGAAATTATTCAATATTTATGGAGCATTAAGTAAATAATACTTGAAATAAATCAAAGTTAACTGATGAGTTACTTAAATTATCAGAGAAGAATTCAATCGGAATTTTTCCTGTTGTGCCTTTTCAGCTACCCAAACCTCGAAAATAGTGGGTGATCAGCCAAGTCGTGAAATTGCAAACTACCCCTGTATTCAACCTTCATTCGAAGCAAAAACAGCACTATCTCGTCAGACTGCCTTCGGTTACTCAACATTTATCAGTGGAACTTTCCCTCTTAAACCACCCCACCTTCAACGAGACTTAAATGAAGAAAGCGTTGCAAAGACAGTTGTGTTCAACCAGACCCCCTCCTATCCCATCATTAACAGACAATGAAATCACAAAAACTTTCAATACAAAGCGATAATCGTTAATATACAACCCTCCCCCCCCCCACTTCCATATTTCATGAACTTTGAACTGATTTCAGTTAAATTTCTGTACGATGTACTTTTCGTTAACTGCAAAATTACGAATATATTCAAATGAATTCACTATTTTTACCATCGATATTTTACTACTATACTCCTGGCGAGGATGCTCAAACTAAGAATAGCAAATTTAATAATGATTTAAATCCGTTTTTATCTTAAGTTTGGAACAGCGACTAAATGCCAAAAAACTTGTTGAGAATCTTTTTTTGGAATTT